ACCCTGAGCCGGTGAGATTTGAACCGCTGACCTGCTGATCTAGCAGTAGCCTGCAGTGCTGCATTTAACCACTGCGCCACCTTGGCTCTTGTGGATAAGCCCAGTTTGAGCTTCTCGGGTGCCCTGTTAACTCAAACTGCTCTGGGCTCTTGTGGACTCAAAGGATTAACTCTCCTCCTTGCAAATCTTGAGACTGTCAATATTTTGAAAAGAGCCTGAGAGAGAAACGGCCGTGGAGTCTTCCAGCTAAGAAAGCAGAGATTTACAGGGCTAACTAGCAGGGGGGCCTCTCTGCTCTTTGCATAATCCCTGCCCCTGGGATTATATTTAGCGCCATAGCAGCCCAGGGCCCTGTGACATTTCCAGTTTCCACCTTAGGAGAGGACCTTCTCGACGGCTGCCACTCTTGGCTGGCGGCCCGAACTCTATAAACACGGGGCGGGGAGGGGAAGAACCGCCAAGGTGGCTGAATGGAGGAGGCGCGGGTGGGTGATGCAACCGCCTGCCTCGGTTGCTTGAGCCTAGGAAGGGAAGGAAGCGGAAGTTGAGTTGACTCGCCTCTTAACCAAGAAGAGGAAGCAGCCCTCTCCTTCTCTCCATCCACGTCAGAGAGGATGGAGAATTGCATCAGAAACGTCTTTTCTGCGCAGAGCTGGAGAAGGGGATTTGGGAGTTTGACCTTGTCGGGGGTTCGTCCTGGGTGCTTAGCGCGGGGAGTGCCCGGTGTGGGACACAGAACAACGGCTCATAGAGAGCAGGGCGGGAGAGAAAGCCCAGTTTATTTAAAAAAGCAAATCAATCAATCAGGATGATCCGGTCCTTTCCCCTGCAGCCTTAAAAGGCTGCGTTAGAGACACAACCAAGGGTAGCAGACCAGATGGAGGGCACAAAGAGCAATCGGGCACATCTGGGGCAAAAGTGTGGAATTGAACCTTCTCCTCAAAGGCAGAAGCTCACCCAAGTTTGCTTGGACAGAGAAGGTGCCACCAGAATCTTCCACATACAGTACATGTATCAATACACAAAAGGATGCAATCTGTGGTGCTCTCTGAGCTTGGCTGCTGCCTTGCAGA